TAGTGCTGTACCCATTCTAACACAAGTTTTGAACTAATTTTCTTCCTGCACCTCAGGTGCCAAAATTCTAACCATTTATCTAGTGATTCAATGTTTAGTTGAATCACTTCAAAACCAATAAATACAACTTATGGTTTCAAATATTAGAATAGTATACTGCCAGGCATGGTGATTGTAGGTTTTGGTGAATTACCTAAAGTGGGGGCAGATTGAAGGAAGAGTACAATGTTCAAATTCTTCACTTCTTCAGAATCAATAGAATAGCAGTTGAAACTTGTAAACAATTGGGTGTTTCTGTTAAAACATCCAAACACGCATCAGAACACTGAGAGTTTAAAGAAAATCCACCAGTTCTACAGAGCTGTCAAACATCCAGCCAGGATTATCCCAAAAGCATGTTGATAGCGGCACGAGGTAGGCAGGGTATATATTATTCTCACCCAAATAGCAACATGCATTTTGGGTACTATGTAGACATACAGTGTCTTTGCTGAAAACAATGTCCAACTCCTATTCAACTCTGTCTATATTCATTATGCAGGTTGACAAAAAACATTCTCACAGCATTATGATGCCACCGCCATGTTTCACAGTTGCTGGGTGTTAGTTTTCCACCACACTCAACATTTCAATTTCACATGAAGTCCAAAACGTTTCATTTAGGACTCATCTTTACCTTACTTGTCATGATACAGAGCTGGGATCCAAACCACAGTAATTTTATAAGAAGATCACTACTCAGCTAATAGTGACTAATAATGTACTTAAATCACTAATGTACACAAATACTGTCTTCCTGCAGCTTTACATCACAGTTAAATCCCATCTGGCTATATAAAGACACCCACCGTTATCCTACCCAGTTGGAAATAATTTCTTTTAGCACAAATGGTAATTTATTTTTTTATTTTTTTATTATAACAATACTTATTGCTAATAATTGCACATTAGTACTCCTGGGCAGATAGACTGTTAGCGGTGTTCCTGTTTTCTACAAAACACTTTTATTTTATAGCTGGAAAAATTTCCAAGAAAAATGACTTTTTTGGGCTGATATGTTAAGTTGAGTATGTGGGTTTCAGCCATCAAAAAATTTACATTGCCAGTGCCAAAAGCTTATACTACTTGCTTTGTGACAGCTACTGGAATGAATGGATGAAGTTTGAAGACACAAGACATGATAGCAATTTACTAGTTTCTTCATTCAACAAACAGGGTGATAATCATAGGTACAGTAGTAAGGCCTCATGTGTTTGGTCACACAGAGCGGACCATTCTACAACCAATATTTGTTGCAAGTCTGCCAAAGTGTTTGAACTATTCAGTTCGGCAAGAACAGCTCGCTGAAGCTGATCAAACTTGTTCAAGCGGGTTGTACGCAATTCCCTCTGAGTGCAGATACTCGTTTTGATATCGCTACATGCATTGAGTTAGCCTCCAATGACCAAAAAGTTGTTTGGGAGGATTTTCCAAGGTTTTTTGAGTGTAGAACCTTTGTGCTCAGCACTTCTGCTCAACCTGCAGATGGTTTTTCATTAACAATATGGTATGACATCAGAGGAAATAAAAAGGCTTTCCAGCAGTTTAAGATTCATTTCTATGAATCAGGGAAACAATGAAGACATAACTGACCCAAACGCAAATTCAGTAGAGCTGTAAGGTTCTTAAACTGTGCTAGTACTTACCCTTTAACAGGCTTGCACTCTCTCCAGTGGTGCAACTTGTGTTGACTGCTTACAATTTAAATTACCTTATTCAATATTGCATTCTGAATAGCGGTGAAAAGATCAAAAAGCAGACATTGCCAATAATATGAGCGGTTTTGAGCCTTTTCCGTTTCTTGGCTCCAGCCAGAGAGTACCGGAAGGAGAAGTGCAGAGGAAACTATTTTAAGGTCATCTGTGGAAACTAAAGTGAATAACGATCAACTAAGAGCAGCCCAAGTGAAGACTTTGTAGGATCGTCTTGTTGAACTGTGAGGAAATGTGGCACATTTGTTCCTCAAGACCAGGGCAGACAAAAGAAGAGGTAAGCCAGCTGCGAGTGCCGGTGAAAGCTCAGGTGGTACTCTGGATTGAAAACCACTGATCTAGAACACCCTGTTTCCGTCTCTTCATGAATGGAAACACAAACAGCTTTTCCATGGTTTCCTCGAATCTGGGTAAAATGTTGACCCTCTTCTGTGAGATGGCACCTTGTTGCGCTTCATTTATCTGGCTCACCTGTTACTCACTGGGTACACACGCTAATAAAATCCATTAGCGCTTCCATCATTCTATGCTCTGGTGGGTAATAAACAGAATGACAGTCGCATCTCATTATCTGAGTCAGTGACCTTTTATCTTCCGTGATAAATGTGGGTGGAGATGGAAAAACACATTTGTCATCGGCAAGTAAACTAATAAAATCCCACTATCTTCTGTTATTTATTGTTAATTGTGAAGATGTCATATTGGATTCCATCAAAAGGTCCTATTTCCTTTCGGGCATTAATAGAATTTCAGGTTCATGTACATGATGTGATTGTTTGGAATAGCATCGCTTAATTTGAACATGATGGCAATAGCAATATGTAAAAAAAAAAAAGTTATATAGACTTACTGTCTATATAACTTATTTTGGCACATTAGCTTACAGTAAGCTGCTCTTATGTAGTGCAGATTTAATTTTTACATGTGTCATATTGTGCACTAATTATAAAAATGCCTTTGTTCTGCACACTGCATCGGTTTGTGTTGTTGTTGGACAGCATGCACTGCAGGTGCTTTTTGTTTTCTCTCCACTCAGCCATCTAAATGACCTTTGTCTTTCAATTTGAGTTTGAGGACTGGATCTTTCTGTTTGTACATCTGCAGATGAGACATCGCAACGGTCAGTCAGTTCCCATCTGCCTTACTCTGCGGTCATTGGTGCCTCTTCTTTATTTATGCTGTCCAGTCAAAATCTTTCTTTTCTAAGATCCTTTTAATTGTCTTTATTGATGTCTCCCTACTTCACATTATTCATCTGCGGAATACAGGTGTCTGGATTCCTGGCCTCAAATACATTTTAAAGATTCTTTTTCAACATTGTACATAATTTATTACTTAGCTCTAAGAAGGAAGCAAAGGTTTATTACATTTACATAATCATACGTATTATTTTAGCTAATAAATGCTGAGGAATCTGTTAAGCACAAAGTTAAAATCTCTCAATTTAACTTGTAATAACTATGCACAAAATTTAAATTGGGACAATGTTTGTTGCTAATTAAAACTCATTTAAATGATAACAGAATATATGAATGCAAGAGATAATAAATAGAAATGCAATTTCAAGATTCTTCTTGCTTTTGCCACATTCCTTGGCCCAGTGGGATAAGCAATTACATAAAAGAAAATGTTTCTGTTCACACGGACAAGTTTAAATTGAGTTTTGACTGTGAACGTTTGTCTTTGTCTGCCCTCTGCTGGACATTTTGAGTGTTTACAGACAGGATTGATGTAATTTTTTTTGTTTGTGGATGCAATTCAATTTTCATAGCATGTACCACACTTCTTGGCACCTCTGGCAAAGAGACATAAAATTTAGTAGATTAAATTCATGCACTTGCATGATCTAAACCTAGAAAAAAAAAAATCAAACCTTTTTACTGTGATTGCATTTGGAGTTTGCAGTTGGAGAAAAACTTTACTGAAGGTGTTACAACCACAAAAATTGGTACTATTGGTATAAATGCATATTTTTTGTAATGTTAATTTTATCTTTTCAAAATGGAAAAGACAGTATAATTTGGCATTCACGTAAGACTGATGTGTGATGTGTGGGCCTTGTTGGTGACAAAATGGCTAAAAAGGAGCAGCAACTCACATAAACGTAGCCATGAGTGACTTAGCCAAAACTGGAACAGCGACAAAGAAACCTTGACAAGGAAGGACGCTGACATCTTGACTCTTGTGGCAATTTGGTTTTCAGTTAGCTATCTTTTGAATTTATTCATCTGATGGGTTCCTCTCCCTATATGCTCCAACTTTATGGTTGGAGATTAATTTTTTTGTCCACAGTTTTGTAAAATGAAGAGATGCATGTTCTTTTCTGTGTCATGCCATTTTCATGCAAGAAGCTTTTGGTAAGAAAACAGGTTTTTCTGAAATCCTTCCAGCAGTGGGGAGTTTTTTTTATGGGCGTTTCTATTTGTGGTATAAACATGTGGATTAGGTGTCCAGGCATTCTTATCAGAAATAACATAGAGGCCCGCTTTGAACAAACCACAATGACTCATTCTATATTTGTCTCTGCTTGGCCTAAATACGTGTTGAATTCCAATTCAGTGAAACTTGGACAACAGGCTTGTAATCAATCTGGGTAAGCTGTTAAATCTAATACTGTTTTTTTTTTCTATATAAATGCAGGGAATGTAACCATTATCACTATGGTGACCCTTCATTGCTATTACAAAATGGTATTGGAATCCCAGTGAGGGCCAATATTTTTACCTTAAAGGTCCAGATGTATCTATAATAAAAAAAATTCTTATAGAGCTTATTATGAATTTTATTGAAATATTGACATGTCAAACAAGTAGATTATAAATGTGCAGTGGAAGGAAAATGCTTATTGTTCTTTATGACCAGTTATGTTAATCTTTACAGATTACCAGATTTATGTCTGCTTTTTTATTGGTTTGTTCTAATGTAGCGACATGTTGTTGTCCTGGATGGAAGAACACTCAATGTTGGACTTTTAAGACTAATTCAACAAGTCCTTTCTTCACAGTACTCTTCCATAAAGGATACAATTACATTGTGTCCCTCCAGCATGTCCTGGATTTTCTTCTGGTTTTGCTCCGAGAGCGGAGCGATATTCTGAGAAGACTTCACCATTATTAGGAAGAAAAAAACAAGCCTCTGTGTCTTGCTAAAAAGTAATTTATAAGTTAGTTTTGTTTTACTTCAAGTGTGCTAATATATTTGCACTAGAAACTAGACCAAAAATGCTTGGTAAGATTTTGTGTTTTTGCAGTGAGCAGCTCTCTCACAACCACAACAGACCGGTAGCTTTCACATCACTGCAGACGCCACACCAATCCACCGTTTGAGAGGTAAAAACTAAGTTCTTTTATTTATTATGTGGATCAATTTTCCTCCATTGACTCACTGTGTACAGCAACAGGTTTTTGCTCAACTACAATAAAAAAAGCTAATTGTAGGCACACCCCCACATACGTGGCACTAACAGATGACATGCCCACATATTCAACATGAAGTTTCCTGAATAACTGCAGCAGGGAGACATCACCAGACACCCACTCTGCAGTTTGCCTCCAATGCTCACCAAGGCTGCTGATGGCTTAGAAGCATGCATGGCGTCACTCCCAGGTAGTAGGTGGGTGTGGTCTTCACTGACTGGTTGAACATAAAAGCTTGAATGCTGACACACACAAACACACATTCACTCAGAGAACACAGAAGCTGTTTCTCTCTTCCTCTGCTCCATTTCCCCCCAGCTGAAGCGGCATCTATAAGGTTGGTGGTGGACTTTTTACAGTTAGTAATCAATATCAATAACTTTTTTCTTCTGTTCTGTTGTATAGCCAGTGAACATTTTTAACAGTTTCTTTTATTTATGTTTCATTCTTTTAAAATGGACCTGGACTTATCAGAATCTTGCAAACGTCCCGGGAACGTCTGTAGCTGACAAGTTGTTGGAAAGCAAATATGTCTCTGCCATTGTCCTTCCTGATATGTCTGTCAGTTTTCAACCTGTGTTTGGCAACTGGGCCTGTGGGGAAAGACAATACAGCCAGTAAGTAGAGATATTGATGTAATGTGTCCTGAATAGACATGTTTAATTTTGTAACACAATAAAGTGGTGAAAATGTAAACATATCCAAACTAAGTTTAGAGTTTGATGAGTTTCAACTGTTCAGCCATGAACACAAAATCATGGCCAACAGTCAGGAAACAAATCAAACAACATCAAAGTGTCACTTTGTGGTTTCTTTTTTTCCTTTTTAAAAGAACAAACTGTATTAGATAAGGAAGAAGCTAGTTTGTTTCCATCAGTCTGTGAAACCCCTTAGTGATAACAGAGAATCTAAGTAAATGGCAAGATAGGTAACAAAATTGTCTATAAAATTTAACAATAATGTGATTCTGCAAATTAGAAAGGACATGTTTTTCTAAAACTGTGTGGCTTGCAGACTTCATGGTCAAATAAGTTGTCTGTTTATATGGTTGAGTACAGCAAGTTAGAAGCTTTGCTTCAGCCACAAGTCAGCAGGTCTTTAAATTGGATGTAAAAATGGTTCTTTTTTGTAGTCTAATACCTTATTGTGTCATAATTCTTTTGAGTTTTTATTTTAATGAAATCATATATGTGGTGACGTTAATTTGTGCAATGAAATTCAAATCCAAAATAAAGCTTGAAGAAAAGCCTTGTTTGCCTCTTTGTTCCAAATTAGCAAAGAGGGTGAATAAAAAGTACAAAGTTGGGTGTTATCAACAGCCAGTTCTTCAAATTGCCATTAGACACGAGAATTCGTTTTGGACTGGATGGGGGTGGAACATGCAACAGCTGCTAGCTGGCAGTACAAACAACTCATTCCATCTTTAACTGGACTCAATGGTTCTGTGATGTGAGATAAAGCCACTGCACTGGTGGTCAAAATGGGCAGAAAGATGAGACTCTTTCTTGTCCCTTTTTTTTTAACCCTAAAGAACTGATTCAAGCTCGACAGTTCTTGTCTCTATTCTGTAATCTATGTTTACATTTTTACTTATATGCTGTATGTTACAGTGGACATACCTTTGTGTTACATCTTATAGCGGGTTGGTCTGAAAGAAGTCCTGAGTCAAAAGATGTTCAGAGGGCGGCTCAATATGGTGTGGAGATGTACAACAAAGATTCGCAGGACAAGGAGTTGTTCAAGCTGGTCTCAGTTCACAGTGCTAAATCCCAGGTTGGACTGATCTTTCTTAAAACTATTTAATGTACCCAATCAAAACATACTTCTAATCACTGTTTTATCTGGTTCTTTCTGCAGGTAACCAGTATGATCGAGTTTAAAATCATTGCAATCCTCGGAAAAACCAAATGTCTTAAGACGCAAAACATTGGTATTAAAAGCTGCGATTTGGACAAAGAGGTAAATCTTTTCACCTTCTTTCTTTATGTAACCATGAAGAAAAAGTTTCAGTTTTCATTCAACACTTATTGTCGTCTTCTCTTTCGCAGCAAGTAAAGTGTCAGTTTTTTGTGACTTTGAACCCCCGCAACAACAAACGTGAGCTGAACAAAAAGACATGCCACATAATTGTACAGAAGGGTTAATTCTTTTTCACAGTGTCAAGACAACCAAAGATCATCCCATTATTTCCATGCTGGAGATTTTAGGTTATCAGTAACAATACATGAAGTTACCTTTAAAATGAATTACACAAAGTAGCATCTAAACCCAAAAGTAAAATCAAACTTCAATAAAATCAGTGAGGTTGTGTGTTTGTTTTGTCTCATGCAAGCTTTACTTTTAACCTATTTCCTTTTGTATTTAATCATTAGAAATCATAGTCAGGCAGAGAGAGAGAGAGAGAGAGAGATAGAGAGAGAGAGAGATATGCAAAGCCATGAAACAGGAACAGCAGGCTTCATGATAAAAGGAAGTAAGTTTCCAGCCTGAAGAATTATAGAAATAGTTGAGACTATTTCTTATTTCAATACAATAAAGTTTTAAAGAATGAAGTCTAAACAAACTGAGTAATTGAATAAGACCCAAAGCAAAATACTTGTATTGATAATGTTTTCTCTTGTAAGAATGAACAACTGTAACTTTGGTTTCAAACAATAAGAATAACGGATGATTCCTGTTTCCTTTTCATAAGAACACCTATAATTACTCACAATATGATCATAAGAGTTACTAATAAGGCATGATTATCATAATATTATAAATTACTGCTAAATCTAAAGCTAAAGAGGTTATAGATGTGATTTTGATAATGAACTTGAAATGATGTAAAATGTGTAGCTGCAATCAGAGATCACTGATGTTGTGTTGGAGGTAGATAGTAGGTAAAGGATTAGAGGAAAGAGGAACTAGAAGGTGAGCAGAGATGACCAACACCTCAGAGTTTGATGATTTGGAAACAGATTGTTGCAACTCAAACTGTTAGAAGAAAAAGACTGTGCAGGTATAGAGTTTAGGGAGACATTTGAGCAACACCAGGACATGAACACAGAGATCAGGTCATAATGTCTCTAAGACATTGATGGACACGAGGTCATCTATTCAAACAGACGGCCAATAATACAAGCATGACAACAGTGACAGCTAATGCAAGTGTATCTATAGGGTGGAGAAACCCTATAAAAGGTGAAAGCAAAAGAGGAACCTTTGGTTGGATCCTCCAGGCAGATTTTAGCCAAAATTGAGATGGACAAAGAACTCTGCAGCTGAAGAAGATCCTGAGCCACAGATAGTCGAAGAATGTCCTGTGCACGGGGACCAACCGATCAGCCTCAAATTGCACTTCTCTCATTATCTAAATTCAGACCCCAACAATAAAGGCAAAGAACAAAGGCAAAGAAAAGGAACTGGGGCCTTCTTTCTGCCCTGATCGATCAGCGCTGTGACTCTCCTCCTGCTGGAACACGTTCTTCATCGTCAGGCTGGTTCTGGAGTTTGAAATTCCATACACCGTCCATCTCTCAAAGGTTCTCTATTTAGTTCTCAGTGTCAGCATTAGGGAAAGATAAGTTTGATAGGATGATTGATTTTTATGATTTGATTATTTCTGCTACTGCATTAAACTGACTGTTGCAAAATTGTCTTACTAATAAAATATTTAGCATAAAGAAAGATCTAAAAGATGTTGTGGACATTCAATTAATGGGTGACCCCAAAGTTCTTTGTTGTTCGTAAAATAGGTATCAATCAATCAATCAAATTTTATTTGTATAGCACATATCAGCAGCAAGGCATTTCAAGGTGCTTTACAT